AAAAAGAATTGCAAAGGTTATGAAGTCAAATGAATTATCCAAGGTTGATGGTTTAGGGAGTGTTTGACTGAAGAATAAACAATAAATGAGCAGTTCTTAATGTTTTCAAGTGCCAACTTATACCTCTGGTTTAACGTAGTTAAATTAGAATCTGCTTCTAGTTTGACTTTACTTGCAAATGGGTATTTCTACAATTCGTGCACCAAAATAAAACACTTCTAAAACCATGAGTTTGTAGCTCAAGTGGTACCCTCTCATCTCACCCTTTATAAGAGTGTTGCCTGCACTAATTGATACAGGGTTCAAGCCCTGAACCTTGCAGTTTCATTAGACTCTCCAACCACCAGTCTCCCTATGAAGTAATAAAAATTAAATCACTTCTAAATGCAGAAGCTTTTGCAGACACCTTTTTTCATTAACTCCAGGAGATGAATAAAATCCACTGACCTCAATGCGAGTCTTTCAAGATACGTCTCGCGGTTAACAGGGTACCATTTGGGAAACTGGTCGAGAAGCCACGACAAAGCAAACCAAATCTCACAAATAACAGATGTAAGCCACAAAGGGTAAGCATCTTTCACTGGGTGAGTGGTACGGTATTGCAAGAAAAATCCCAAGATGATCAAACGAAGAATGATCACAACACGATAAGGTGTAAGATGGGAAGAAGAAATGGGCACAACACGACTCATAGGTTGACGAGCATCATCAGCCCTGTCAAATACAAACTGTTAGCATTTTTCACAATCCCTGAAAGCAATGACATGATACAAATGGTATTCATCACATTATATTTACTTTCAACATATTTTCAGAAAATAAAAACAGATTACATTTGTAATTCTTCTCCATTGGACCCGGTGCCTTCAATGTCCCCTCCTTTCCCTTCACTGTATCTGTTGGACATCTGCACAGTGTTTTTCTCCTGTCTCAGTTTCCAACCTTCAACCCTCTCTTTCCAGTCGACATTCCCAAGTCCATAAGCATTCAAATCTTTGGAAGGGTCGACAATTCTAACCGGAACTGCAGAAATTAATTAAGCAATCAGCTGTTTGCAAACAAAGAGGATAAACGACATGTTAGCTGATGAAATTCATTATATTCATAAGCATCTACCAGGCTGCCGAGGATCAACATAAGGAAGTGAATGAACACGGTCACCAGGGCCCAGTGGCCCTGATGTACTGCGGACAGAATGAGTGTCCGGTATAGAAGGAGGCATCTCGCAAGAAACCTATTAATTAAGAGAAATATATGTAGGTTAACAATGAGATATCATAAGTGCATCTTTGGAATACCTTGTGATAATTTTGTGAATAAATAGAAAATGGATTTGCTGACTTACTGGTTGCCCATTGGTAAGAAGAGGGATGGGCTGTTGTGATTCATGTCTAGAAGATGCAGAAAGCTCAATATCATCCCCATGCCATTGAGATCGAGACTTGCTTTTCCCCTGAGAGTAACTAAACTCGTTCTCCAGGTCATCAATATCATCCTCATCATCATCACCGTCCACTCTTGGACTCCCTAAAAGATGCAGGAACAGTAAGCTCTCGTACATTAAAATATTTTGATAATCACAATTAACTCCTAAGGGGTTTGTGGTTTGTACTTACTTGAAACTATCATCTACTGAGGGGTGTGTAGTTTGTAAAATGGATCAAGGTAAGAAATTTACCTTTCAAAATAGTTGGACATTTTTGTAGATACATTCAACATCAAATGCTCTCTTATAGTATTTCTATCCTCATATTTAGAAGAAAATCCAGTGAAAATAAAGTCAAGATGACTAACCTTTGTGTCTCTTGTACCTAGTTTTACACTGGGGGCATGACTGACTTCCATCTTTGCGCTCGTATTCATAACAAGAACGGCAAACCGGAAAGGCACATTCATTGCAAGCAACAAATATGTCACCTATCGAGGTCACTCCAACAGTATCTCCACATATCTGGCATATTTGCCCATTCAAATTCTTCAGGGGCTTTGGCTGCATCAGGTAGAATATGAATCAAACCAAATGATAGATTCCCTGATTGATCCCGTTTCATGATCCAGTTCATAAGTTCAATCCAGAGATAATTCAACAAAACTAAAACTAAATAAAAAAAAATCAACATATCATTCAGTTAACCTGCAGCAAATTAATTGATCAGAGTATGTTCTCTTGCCTAGTCATGCGGAAATAGATTAAATGAAAACTATCCGAATTTGGTCAAAGAACCAGTACAACAAATATTCAACATTTCGGACTTTCAGTATGATCTCAATCTCATCTAAGTCAATTAGATTTTTTTTTTTTTTCGAATCAATAAGCAAATCTGACAGCAAATCCAGCTGATGTGAACACTTTCAGCTGATCAACACCTCAAAACTAAAAACCAAATTAACAAATAAATATTAAACAACTCGAGCAATGCACACATCCAACCACACCATTTCATGCAAACAACCAAATTCGGCAAAATAAACTTCTATAAGACTAACTGCGACCGTCCAATTTCAACATTGTATCATCAAGATTCAAGATCCAAACTTTATGAGTCAAAATCACTTTACCCTATCAGCAGTCAGATCCAATCCAAAAATACCAATGAC